TGAAAGTTTACGGACTGACGCGAAATAAATAAAAAACTCTACGGGAACCCAACCCACATTTCGGCAAAAAAAAAATCTACGGGAATTCACACGTTCCAACCCAAAAAAACGTATTGACCAATAAACCAACCAACCTAATATATCTATATAAATTGCTGTGACTAGGCGTGCCCTTCGGGCACTGCCCGAGGGGAGGGTTGATGGGGGGCAAGCCCCCCAACACCCCCCAGGACACATTCTCTCCACCACGGTATGTACAGCAAGACAGAGCTGCATTCACACCGTAAAATAATAAACCAAATACCTTTATATCCGGAAACGCGAAACTCGTTTCTTTGTACTGTTGGGATTGCTTTGATTTTAATCACCTTTTTCGTCCTTTGGAGCTCTTGATGGGCTCAAATATAAAACTGGGATGGTTACTGAAGTCGAATTATTCTTCGATGCCACTGTAAAGGTCTTAAAAAAGAACCCAGAATCAACACAACACTGGAAACGCTACATTTCTCACCGGCTTTCAATCTCGAAATGAGCGGGTTGGTGAGCTGACAACCTGTGGCAGGCGCAAGAAAGTGTGAAACACTCGATGCGCAGGATTCGATATGAGGGTATGGATAAATATAAAAATATGCAATTGAAGTATAACAACATTACTAAAAGACTTTAAAGGTATAAATGAGTACCAGCAGACACAGATAATTAGCCAAATATCGTTTTGACAAGCGCGTAATGATACACGGACTAGTTCGCGAACGCAAAAATGCGTTCGTGGGTCAGTGTCGTGTTTTTCCTAGCAAGGTAAACAAGCTCATCGACTTTGAATTTGAAAGGCGGCCGCGCGTTATATTTTCCTCATTTAGCGGTGACTATAAGGCCTGTGCATCTTAAACTATACGCTATCCCCTTCTATTTTTCCCGCTCTATAAGATGGCGGTGTCCATTTTCCTCTATCTACGCGCGTCGCGGTCTTCAACCTCTACCCTCTGATTACCATTTACTCCTTTTTTTTAGTTTGGTTATCACACTGGCTGGAGAAACACTGCAATTGTAGGGGGGTCCAGGGGCATAGCCTCTAGGTTAGTAAGGTTTTTGGTTTGTATGGCTAAGGAAACACGGCGATCAGTTAGGGTAGCATGGTGATTGTAAAGGCTTCAAGGGTATAGCCCCCGGGTTAGGAAAGATTTTTGGGTCAATATGCATAACAGGGTAGGGGCTTACTTTCAAACAAATTTTGATATTTATCTGCATGAAATCTACTGATTTCAACAATTCTTGATGTTGTTTCTTGTGCAAATGCTTCATTGATGAGATCTGAGTCTATGCACCGGCGCACCAAAATTCGAAAAACTCTATGGGAATACAACGCATCTTTCGGCAATATCTACGGGATTTCACACCTTTCAAGCACCAAAAAACGTCCTAACCCATAACCCAACCTAACCTAGCAATTTACGGTGCCGTGACTAGGCGTGCCCTTCGGGCACTGCCCGTGGGGAGGGTTGATGGGGGGCAAGCCCCCCAACACCCCCTGGGACACATTCTCTTCACCTTGGTATGTACGGCAAGATAGAGCTGCATCCATACTGTAAACAATAAACCAAATACCTTTATACATCGAAAGACCGAACTGTCAATTTTCCTTCGCTTCTTTCGGTCGGTCGTGGATCGTGGGTCGCTTTTTTCGGGATTTGGGGTACTTGATGCCTTTAGAAATAGAACTGCAATAGTTATTGAGGTCTTTTTCTACTTCGTTGCCACTGCATAGTCTTAGGAATAACCTAGAATCGACGCAACACCGACAACAAAACACTTCTTACCGGCTCTCTGTCACCGACTACCCGCAAATCCACCTGTCAAAACTGGCGGCTAGAAACGCGAAAATACACATGCACAGAAGGTCCTTCAGACTGATTCCCGTTAAAACCTGTATAATCAATCTTAAAACACATAAATGAGGTACAAAAACATTAATAAAGGTCTTTGTAAGCATAAATATGGAATGGCAGACACTGATGATTAGCAAAATATCCTTTTCACAATCGCGCAGCAATACATGCACTACTCTGAACAGCGCAGTAATCGGTTCTGCGTCCAGTCCAATGTTTACTTTCGTCATGAAAAGATGATGATGGACTCAGGCAAAATTGGGCCATCACCTCTGTTCATTTATGTATAGCACCTTTGGGAAGCATTTGCACAAATATTGCCATAGAAGAAAAGTGGGTAGAGGTTACAGACACAGACACGCGTAGATAAAGGGAAATGGACACCGCAATCTTATAGAGCGGGAAAAGTAGAAGGGGATAGCGTATAGTTTAAGATGCGCCGGCCTTATAGTCACCGCTAAATGACAAAAATATAATGCGCGGCCGCCTTTCAAATTCAAAGTCGATGAGCTTGTTTACCCTGCGAGGAAAAACGCGACACTGACCCACGAACGCATTTTTGCGTTCGCGAACTAGTCCGTGTATCATTACGCGCTTGTCAAAACGATATTTGGCTAATTATCTGTGTCTGCTGGTACGCATTTATACCTTTAAAGTCTTTTAGTAATGTTATACTTCATTTGCATATTTTTATATTTATCTATACCCTCATATCGAATCCTGCACATCGAGTGTTTCACACTTTCTTGCGCCAGCCACAGGTTGACAGCTCACCATACCTCTCAATTCGAGATTGAAAGCCAGTGAGAAATGTTGCATTTCCAATGTTGTGTTGATTCTGGGTTCTTTTTAAGACCTTTACAGTGGCATCAAAGAATAATTAGACTTCAGTAACCATCCCAGTTTTATATCTGAGCCCATCAAGAGCTCTAAAGGACGAAAAAGGTGATTAAAATCAAAGCAATACCAACAGTACAAAGAAACGAAAGTTTCACGTTTCCGGATATAAAGGTATTTGGTTTATTATTTTACGGTGTGAATGCAGCTCTGTCTTGCTGTACATACCGTGGTGGAGAGAATGTGTTCTGGGGGGTGTTGGGGGGCTTGCCCCCCCATCAACCCTCCCCTCGGGCAGTGCCCGAAGGGCACGCCTTGTCACGGCAATTTATGTTGATATATTAAGTTGGTTTATTGGTCAATACGTTTTTTTGGGTTGGAACGTGTGAATTCCCGTAGAGTTTTACCGAAATGTGGGTTGGGTTCCTGTAGAGTTTTTTTTATTTATTTCGCGTCAGTCCGTAAACTTTCAAAGATGGCGGTTACATCCGTAGAGTTTCATTGGCCGATTTTAAGCGCTTTTTGTGCTAGTTTTACGCATTATTGATCGTTATTCTTATTTAAGCTTGTTTTACCCCATAATTTTCCTGATATACTTCATGCCCTCCCCTGCTAACGGGAATATCAAATCAAGATCGTCGATGGAGAAATGGTACTCGATCTCCTGAACGATTCATTCGCAAAAGAAACAACGCCGAAAATCGATGAAATTATAGGATTTCATGCAGAAAAACAATTTCTTTTGACTTAGTCTCTGAGAGGGTGCATCGCTCTGTAATAATTACCGAAAAGTGACTTGGTTTGTATCAGTCTATTGATTTATATAGGTTATATCTCCCAACTTAGGCACTACCTTATACTGCATATTGTCCTGCAATCCTTGACATGGGTTTTTAATTTTTGCACTTTTTTACTTTTTAAATTACCTTCAAATAACAAACATTCCATCCCCTCTAGAATTATCCAAGAAATAATCAGCAGACACAAACCGTAACACCACATGTAACAGACACAGATTGTGGAAACTACTGCTCAGTGCCAGAGTGCACGATTGGTGCTACCGAGTTTCAGCTCTATCTAGTTGAAGAAAATATTTGTCAGAGGGTTCTTGGAGGGCAATGCCAAAGATCACTATTTGGGTAGTACCCGAAGGGCACGCCCAGTTTGAGGAACTTAAATTACTTCAATAAGGCTGAGTTTGAAACTGTCCATACTGTAAAAAATTACTGAAACGTTTATGGTTATTTTTGGATCCCAAAGTCATTAGCATGTTAGGGCCACAATCTAAATAGGGTGTTGTCAAATCGTAAATAATTGCAAATACTTTCACTTACATCAATTGCAATGGTAGAACAAAGATTCACACACGTTACACCGTAAATGATTGAAGCGAATAATAATTGCAAGGATGTCTTAAAATAAAAAAAAAATAAAAAATCACCAAAATAAAAGATTTTCCCATATTAAAGGAAAGGGGCAACTAGGTTAGGTCACACAGGCTTACATCATTAACTCATTGGTGACTAACCTAAGTACTTGTGAAACCACCTAAGTGAAAAAAATCAATAAAATAAAATCAGAATTCATCAAGAGATTCCTAACTCATACCCAAAGCATATGTACTAATGATCAGAAGATTAACTGCCCCTTTTTTCTCCATATGACCAAATATCCACAAACAGTACAACGACAAAAAAAAAAAAAAGGATTAAGGCCGTTTTTATTTCCTCCATAATTTCAAATATCCACAAACAGCAGGAAAAAACAACAATCAAATAAGAAATAATACCAATGATACAGGAGATAATTATCAATCAAACTATCTATCTATCCTTTATTCCTTTTTCCTTCGTCTATTTATCGCGACCTTCAGCCATTACGAGGTCGGCATTCCTGGCGTCTTTTGTGTCTTTTATCGATCTATTTCCGTCTGACTAACAGTAATTCGTAGTTTAACAGGTAGCATAAGAGTAGCACAAGGCAATTCTCCCCAGGTGTTGTATAAAAAAAGAAGGAAAACAACAACTGTCAAGGTTTAAGTAACTCTCTTGACCTTGACAAGAAGCCGGCGACGGAGGACAAGAATTTGTTTGTTATTCGATGAAAACATTACTAAAAACAACGATTTTTTTGTCCTTTTCCGTAATTACCTCGTCCTAAACCTATGCTAAACATAACCACCAACTATCCTTCTTTCTGAAATTCATTAATAGACCGAAAAACGAATTGTTTATCGGCCCCAAAATCGTGAAAAATAATAATGGCCGAGGGCCTCACCATCTTGAGCGAGGAGGGAGGAGGATGTC